AAGAACTTTCACACTCCAAACTAGATAACTGAAGAGGCTCAAACAACTTTGGAAACAAAGATCTTAATGAAATAAAAGAAAGATGACCCAAGCGATTATGCCAGATCATAATCGAACTCACTAACTCTAATCCACTACTACTGCTGCTACTAACATGATGGCTCTGATGTCTCAGAATCTCATCTAAAAGGTAGACTCCATTCACTTCACGACCACTCCCATTTGTCCTCTTTGATTCTAAATCCTACAAAACACAATTACCAGGAAGGAAAGTCACTGAACAGTTCAAATTTCTTGTCAAAGAACTCACAGAAAGAATATTAGTATGGAGTCTAGGGACATGTAAGGCAGAGGATAAAGTGATGTCATCAATCACTCTAATTGTCCCTTTCCTAGCAATGGGAATATGGGAACCATCTGTTGTAGAGACTCTGTCTCTACTAGAGCACAACTGGTAAGAACTAAAATGGGTAGGTATATTGGTCATGTGCTCAGATGCCCCCCTGAGTCTATAATCCAGGGAAGTCCCTCCTTACCTAACGTGGATGCATAATTTACAACTGCATATGAACTACCTGTATGAGCAAAGGAAGTAGTACGATTGGCTCCTACACTCTGTTGCCCATCTAAAGAACTAGAACTGGCTGAATCCTGCTTGCTCATAAGTTGTCCATACTTCTCCAATTCAGTTCTAACTGCTACTACTGCAATGTACTCCAAGTCAGCTTGGGTAAGATGCCCCAAAGAGTCTCCTATAATTCCCATATTTGCATTTCCCTTCTTGTTCTTGACCTGAGCCAGTATGAGATGTGGGTAGAGCTTCCAACAAGTGTCTCTGGTATGCTAAGTCTTCTAACAGGTTGTTGCATCCTTCGTACTCTCCCAAACCATAGTCTCTAAGTGATCTATCTCCTGCCACAGTGTTTTCAGCATGGAGAAATACATGGCAAGTGGTCCATCTCTCTGTTTTGTATTAATCACATGATTCCTTAACTGATAGGCTCTAGCTACATTTGGTTTATGGGAATAGGTTTCAGTCACTCCATCCTAAATTTTCTTTGCAATATTAGCTCACAAAAAAATTTTACCAATGTGAGGTAACATAGAATTACACAGCAGGACATCACCATGTAATTCTCATATACCCACTAGGAGGAATCTGTATTAGGTTTCTTCTCCTCCCTAGTTTCCCACGAGCACCAATAGCCATCTTGGCTTATTGTACCCATTCTAAATAATTTGCACCATGCAATTACATTACGACAATAATTCCAAACCCAAAAATATCACTAGTACCTCCAACACCCAGACCCATGTTACCGGTGGACTAGGTAGAAAGCCTCCAAGATCAAATCGATCTCACACACAAGGGTAACTGACCTTTCCGGAAGAAGAAAAGCCTATCCAGAGAGAAATCCCTCTTCTCTCACCGTCTCCCATCGGAGAGAAAATTGAATTGATCACTCTAGAGGGCTCAAAAACTCCCATAAACCAAACTACCCCTTGTATATAACCTAGAGAAGTCCAACAAAGTCCAAGCACCCAAGATTAGATCAAAATTGAAGAGTCCAACTTGACTAGGACTCTTCCCCACACTCTAGTTCTTCCTGATTTTGATGCCAAAACACAAATCACCCTCTTGATGACTGGAACCCACCAAAAAAATCCAAGAACTGGGCAGTCTGAAGTAGATTGATCAGCCCTTTATCTCCTGTTGCAATCGGCTGATCTAGGACTGCATGGAAGAACTCCAAGAAACCCTAGTCTTGCTATGATACCAAGTAGAAAACTGTTGAAGCAAAGAATTTGTAAAGAAAAGAGATATTTCTTAAAGAAGAAGAGAGAGAAGAGGAGAAATTTTTTTGAGAAAATTTAACTAGGCAAGAAGAGAAGAAATTGAGAAAGAAAAAGAGAGCAATCACTTCTGGCCGCACCCTCCTCACATAAAACTTTTAATTAAAAATGGGTACAATGACTAATATGCCCTTATAGAGTGGCTAACACATAAAACTGCCTATATAACTCAACATAACCACTAAAAGGAACCCAACAAGAGTGTTGTGGTCCCCACTCCCTATCTAAACAATAAATAAACAAAAACAACTACTAAATCTGCACAAATCTGCCCAAAAACCTAAACACCTATCACCTCAAGCTTCCTTACCTACAATCTCATCTTTACTCGCAACCTCAACAACGACACTAACACTCCTTTTTCCATCTTCCTCCTCCCCCCTCCCAACCTCTCTGAACCAGCTGAAACATTCTTGCCCAAAGTCAAAGACCCTGACTTTTCAGTTCCACATCTGACTGTAGTTGAAACCCAAGGTTCGGAGGAGGTGCAAGTCCCATCCGTACCCCTTCTTTCTTGCACTCCATCTCTGACATCTCTAATCACCAAAGAAGGCGTGCAATCGTCGAAACTCACTTCTATATCACCAACAATCCTCTTCTTACCACGTTTATCAAACTTTGTGATCTCCCATAACCATCTTTCTCCCTTTCTATCTCTAACCTCCGTCTAGGAACTCCTACCTGCAGTTCCACTTCTTTTAAAACTTGGTTGGTTGAGCCCTAGAAACTTTCTCTTGCCAGATTTCCTAATCTTTTTTTCTTGTCTTCCACTATGCCCAGCAGCGCTGAGATCTAGAGCTCTGTTTGAAAGCCCTTTTGGACGAGTCGAACACTTCAGTCGGTCCTACTGAACTGAGGTAGAAGATAACCTCTCTACTCGATTCACGTGGTGACTTAAAAAGTCACCTAACCGTCTTTTACTTACCCGTCCAAAGTCCTAAAATCGGTTCCACCTCTTTAACTCGAGCCAGTTCGGGCCATCTCTGACTCGACTTTGAATTATCTATTGGACCCAACGTCTTAGATGATGTGGACCTACAATTAACAACCTCCACAAAGGACTTTTCACCTGTCCCTAGTTCGCCACTTTCAAGTAATTTTGATTCCCCAAAGAACCTGTGTGAACCCTCTTCGTTAACCTCCAACATTTGGCCAAACAGCCCTTGACCTTTGGCTAGATGTTTCCTTACCACATGTAACCCATCCCTCGAAAATGCCATCATCTTCTTCCTTGGTATACTTCATCCATAGTGACACTTCAACTTCCAATAGAACCCAAACCTTGAGCTAGAGACCTTCAACAAGCAGATTTAGGTAAGGGTGCAAATGGATCGGATCATCTTCTTCCTTGGTATACTTCATCCATAGTGACACTTCAACTTCCAACAGAACCCAAACCTTGAGCTAGAGACCTTCAACAAGCAGATTTAGGTAGGGGTGCAAATGGATCGGATCATGATCCAATCTGATCCAAGATCCGATCCTATTTGGTTGAATTTGGATCACCCCTATTCATATCTTTGGATAGGATTTGGATCACCCTCTACCCGATCCGATCCGATATATATATATAAACATATATAATACATATATTTGTTATTTATTTATTTATAAATATATTTTTTATATTATGTTTTTATAAATTTATTATATTATTAAAGTTTTTATAAAAAAACATGTATACATATGATGAAAATAATTAAAAAATACTTATATTTTTTGTTTTTACTTTATTTAAATTACTATATTTTATTTTTCTTTTAATAATTTATTAATTTTTAAAGAAAACAAGTCGAATTGGATCAGATCTGAAGCTCCAACTTATCAATAGGATTCGAATTCAAATCGAGTCCTATCAGATCCGATCGGATCTTCGGATCAGATCAGCTCCAACATGAACAGTGTCGGATCGGATTCTCAGATTTGAATCCAATCTGATCCATTTGCATCCCTAGATTTAGGCATCTAGGGACTTTTTAGGTTTCAATACCATGATTCTGATTCTCGTGGCATGAAGATCTTGGAGATTATATGCTATCAACTTTCCACCCATGACCTGGATCATCTTTTCAAGAAATTCCTCATTCCATAAATTAAAGGGGAGTCCCACTAGATAAAGCTGAAGAATTCCTTTAGGGATCAGATTCTGATTACAAGACGTATACCAGCCCTCTGCCATAATCCTGCCAATTGAAGACTCCATGCATTTCAGGAGTGGGGAGCTCGACTTCTTCGTCGGCTCCAAATAGCATGGCCCTCGAATCATCAAAAGGCTTAATATCCACAGAATCTTTTAAGTTGAATCTCTTCACAACTGCCTCCAGGATCCTCCCCTAATCTATAACTTTTTTGTCTGTTGTTAATAATTACTTTCTTTTCCCAAACTCCTTTCTCCCCATCTAATAGCACCTTTGAACTTTTAGTTTTGCTGCACACTAAGCTTATGGATCTCCTTATTTTTATTTTTCTTCCTTCAAATTCTCATTGCCGCTCTGCTTATTGCAGACCTCTGAACCATTGCAATGTTTTGGAGTTTGTCTTCCTTCCACTTTCAGCAAAAACTCCTGTAATAAATCTGCAAACGATCTCCACCCTGTTCTCTTTCTACCCTCTGGTACACATAGCATATGTTTTCTGTTATCACCAAATATTTCCATGATCACAACAAACTAACCTTTCACATTTCTCCTTATCTCAACTTCAAACTTTTTCCCATCTGCACCCACTGCACTCTTCCAACCTTGTTTTTAAATGGAGAATGCCGTCCCATCCATGAATCCCTTCAGCCATCCAATCACCTCCTCAGTTACACGAATGGTGCCTCTTTTTTCTTCTCTAATCTTTAATGTCCACCTACTTTGTTTCTGCCTTCTTCAAACCAAAACCTCTTAGCTTCAATATCCACTTCCCTTCTCCACTTCGTTGTTGATGAAAAAACTTCTTCGTACGCCATTCTCTTACTCACCCACTGTAGATATCACCAATCCACATGATCATAAGCCTTCAATATCCACTAATAAATTTCTTTCTTCACAAAGTAATAAATCACCATTGAACAATATTATCAAAAACATGAGCAATTAACAATATAATTGATTTGACAATACTTATTAAAAATTTGAATGAAAGATTATACATTAACTCACCAAGCAATTTGAATTCCAATTTTTCCAAGCGTTCGCATGGCCATTGACACCTGAAATTAAGGACAGAGGATCAGAATCATATAATGTGCACATAGAAACAGTATCCATGATATATGAATTGATACGTGTCTCCAGTGGATGCACAACATGGGCAACACTAAGAAATTGAATTTAACAAATTTAGACCATACTTAACTTCTTTGATAGTAGGTCAATGGACCCTAATCTTTTCCCTCTAACTCTCAGCTTGCCAACCAAACCTAGCACCAACCCATTTATTGCTGGTTTGGTGAAGAAAAATTAAACTGGAAAAGGTTTTCACAACAATCCAAGGTGACCTTCTCTACTGATGAAGTATACTTTTATGAGCTCATATTTGATGTTATGGATATTGATGTTAGCCACATTATTCTTGGTAGACCTTGGCAATTTCATTATGATGTAACTAACAATGGTAGGAAACAATCCTTACGTTTTCTATAAAAAGGACTATGAGATTGTTCTTGCACCAATGGAAATAAAGAAATGACCCAAAGCTTTTCAGGTAGAAACGTGAACTCCTAAATGAAGCATTGGATATTGATGTTGATGTAACTCATAATGGTAGGCAACAATCTTTACAGTTTCTACAAAAACGACTACGAGATTGTTCTTGCACAATTGCACCAATGGGAATAAAGAAATGACCCAAAGATTTTCAGGTGGAAGGGTGGACTCTTAAACAAACATTGGGCTTCATTTCCCTTCCAAAGAGACTCCTTATTTATAAATAATGTCCAAAGAGACTGTCAGATCTTGTTTTTGGTCTACTTCAGAAATGTCAGTAAAAGCTTTGTTGATCTGATCATCACCCTTTCCCTCTTTACATACCCTCCTTTCTCTTTTAATAAAATTTTTCCCTCCATTTTTCTATCATCAAAAATTTTTCTCTCCATTTGCTAAGAGACTACAAATGCAAACCAAGAATCTCAACATAAAATGATCATGAAACAGTAATACAATAAGTCATGAAGGGAAGGATTCTTTTTTTTGAAGATAAAAAAGAATAAACTTCATTAATGAAAAAAGGAAAGAAAGTTAGAGAGGATACAACAGGGTGATAAGAAATCACTCAGCAAAACAAGCCCACCCAAAAACAAAAAAAAAAAAGAAAAAAAAAAAACTAAAACAGAAAACCAGCCCTACAAAGTCTAGTACACCCTCAGAAATCCAAACCCAGATACAACTGCAAAAACCCCAAACAAATATCATGTATACCCCTCCCACCAATCACTGGAATAGATAAGCGGGAAACTGCAGGTCCGACACCCTTCCAACCCCTGCCAAAAAAAAAAACAGAAGAAAACACCTCAATCCCCACCATCCATTTCCACTGAAAAACACAACTCAAGCTTTATCCATTTTCTCCGTGTATCCATTGTCTGAAGCATAGCTCTCACTGCTCGTCTGAGAAACTTTCTTTGTCTTCTGCCCCTTCTTCTTTAGTCCCATCCCAAACATCCCAACTTTAACCTGGCAAAAGTTTTTGAGACTTGCATCGTTTGATTGGTTTTCCATCTTCTAAATCTTCTCACTGCAATAGAGGCTTAGAGTTCACTGATCATAAAGTCTAGTTGAATGAAATGTTTATTTTGGAAGCTAGATCTAGCCCATGATCCATCAACTTCATTTCTAAACCATCCAACAAACCACCTGGGAGTGCCCTCCACCTCTACCTGCTCAATACACTCAGTGAAGCTGACATCACCACCCCCCATCTCCAGCCAACCAAACCATTAGGCTCAAAGTTAGCTGATCTCAAAATCCAGGTGAATGGAATTTTTACCTGGAAGCTATCTAGCTCTAGCAATAGCCCATGATCCTCCACAACACCATTTCCAAACCACCTGCAAGGTGCTCTCCACCTCTACCTCCTCAATACCCAGTGAAGCCATCAACTTGAGGCCCTGGAGTAGGATCCCAATTTTTCCCTCATCAAGATCCTTCTGAAATCCCTTAGTTCTTAAGAACACTATATTTTCTGATTTTTCCTTCATTATAGAAGGCTGCTTAGATCCCCTAGACCAACACCTTTTTCCTTTTCTTCTTGATTTTAATCTATACCAAGAATTCCTCTTTTTAGCAATGAATTCTCATCATCTTCTCACAAGGCATTCCAAAATCCAAATGTATAGTTTATAAACATATAAGAATAAACTTATGTACTCAACCAAAATGGTTAAAGAATGCACATAATAGTCATCTACAGGTCTTCTGATGTCAATTTAGTGTAAAACAAAATACTGTATGTTTTTAATCATTGAGGCAATCTTAAGCAGTTAGAGAGCAAAAACAACTTACCAGAGAGACGCCACCAGAACCAAGTTCACACATGGTGTTTACATTTACTTCGGCAATGAGCAATCCAGTAACAACCTGCATTAACTTGGTTAGCTATAGAATATTTGTCTTTTTTTTACTTATTTGATACTTCAGAAAGAGAAAAATAAAAAGAAAAAAAAAAAAAAACTCTCTCCAGTTATTAGAAGAATTAATAATGAGCACTTCACTTTTCTTAACTAAATAAAATACCATGATGAATGGTAGTTTCGCCACTTCACAGTTTCCCCACATGGGCCTTTTATTTTCAGCCAATTCTTTTTGTGTAATTGATGGGCCTTGGCCCATAGTTGTTTTAAGTTTTTATTAGTGTTCTTTAACAGTTTCCCTTCTAAGGGCATATTGGTCCTTGTGTATATACTTTTTGACAAAAGTATAAATACAAGTTGAATGGGACGGCCCAATACTTTTGGCTCCCCCTTCGTTCTCTTCTATTCTTCTCTTTCCCTTCTCTTCTTCTTCCCAACTGCTGAAAATCTATTGCTGCATAGATTTTTCTCTGTTTTCCTGGGTTGCAGAATTCTACTTGGTATCAGAGCCAAGTTAGGAGTTCTTTGAGTGGATTCCATGCTATTTTTTTTTATCATAAAGGATTTCATTAATTAGAAAATGATCGGGACTTGGGTTTCAGAAGAGGACTATATGATCATGAAATGAACATTGTCATTGACCTTCTTCAGAACTTGGAAGGGATGTGTTTGGAAGGGATAGGAGAATTTGGACGCCTTCACCCTCGGGTTCCTTTTCTCATGGTTCCTTTTTTCAGCCTTTATCCAAGTGCCTTCCTTTCCTTCAAAAGAGATTTGGTTTAAACCTATTCTTCTCAGGATGGGTGGTTTGTGCTGGGAAATGTATTTGGAAAGATTTAATACTTGTAAATTACTACAAAGAAAAAGACCCAATTGATGCCTTTCCCCTCATTGGTGCTCCCTTTGCAAAGCTAATGGTGAGAATTGCTATCACTTATTAATTTCCTGCCCTTTTTCTTCTTCAATTTGGGAATGGTTCTTGTCTTTGTTTGGGTGCAGGTGGAACCCTCCTCCTAGTGTACAAAGCCTATCCGCTTCCAATTTCCTAAGCTGATCAAAGAAGAGGGGAAGAATATTGTGGCAATGCACAAGGGCTGCAGTGTGTTGGACAATTTGGGAGAAGAGGAATCAAAGATTCTTCCATGAAAAAACAAGTAAAGAAGCTGTCATTGAAGCTATCACCATAAAGGCAGTCCATTGGGTAAAGTCATTGGAGATTTTTAGAGATATTTCTGGCATTGAGGTGTGAGAAAGTGGAGGGAGGTGGCTGATTCTGCTCCAGTTAAGGAGGTGGTTAGGCCTTTATGGTCCCCACCCTCTAGTGGTTCCATTAAACTTAACTTTGATGGTAGTAGTGAAGGTAATCCTAGCCCTTCTTGTATAGGAGGAGTTTTTAGGAAAGAAGAAGGAAACATCATTGCACTATTCTCAGGCCCAATTGGTGAAGGAGATTCCTTAAAGCTATGTTTGGTTTGAAGGAAAATGTAGGGAAAGGAAGGGAAAGGTAGGGAAACCTTTACAAACCTTGTATTGGTTTCCCTATCTTTCCCTTCCTTTCCCTACCTTTTCCTTCAAACCAAAAATAGCCTAAGAGCTGAAATTATGGCTGTTATGGAAGGGATTCAGAAGGCTAAAGAGCTGAATATCAGGAAGCTGGTAATAGAAGGTGGCTCGAAGCTTGGAATTAGTTGGCTCCAAAAAAAGGAAGAAGAGGGATGGTGGTGCTACATTCATGAGAAGAGGAAAGCTGTTAAACTGCTATAAGGGGTAGAGGTGTCTTGTAATTGGGTCAAAAGAGAAGCAAATTCTGCATCCGATACACTTGCTAAACAAGGGGTGGGAAGGAATGATTTATTTTGGGCTGTACACTTGCTAAAAAAACCTCTCTTATCTCCCCCAAACAAGAAATATTGCAGAAAAATTACAGTTGGACCCAAAACAAGTTCTCCCTATTCACCCCTTGCTTTGCTAACCCATCAGCAAAGGAGTTCGCACATCTCTTAACCCAAGCTACTTTAATTTCCATGTCTTTTATCAGCGACTTGAATTTTTTCTTCTCATTTCTGTACATCCACATGCCAGTTTTGTCTCCCTTCAGCCAGTATACCACCAGCCACTTGAATTTTTTCTTCTCATGTCTTTTTTTCTCTATTTTTTTGGGTTGTAAATAACTCATCAAAAAAGGTAATGCACAATTGAAAAAGAAAACAGAAAGGGATAGAGTAATCACTCATAAACAAACAGCTCTGTGAATAATACCATTCAACCTAACTATTACCATATAAATCCAGCATATGACGCATGTAATTGCAGAGGGCAGAAATCCTGCTTCTTGTGTCACTGCAGGGATTGCAAGGATACCTGCACCTACCTATAAAATTTAAAAGAATTTGGAAATGAAAATGTTAAAGCAAATAAAGCAGATTAATCAATAATATAGTCCTATTTTTAGATTAAGATAGGTGTTAGTTTTCATTATTAGCTAACTAGATATGTAATTTATGAATCAAAAGACATATCCAATGTCTTCCTAAAATGCAACGGTATTGAGGTAAGTGAATGTTTACTTGCATGAATGCATTTACATATAAAACTGCAATGTTTTGTAAACAAGGTTGGATCTGAAATTTTTTTTATCAACAAAAGGTTCTCCAAAACCCATGTTAAGGCTCATATACTAGCCAATTTATCAATTATTATTGGTCAATTGTTCAGTTGCAGATTAAAAAGATCTAATTTTATATCTCAAACCAGAAAACCCCAGGTCTGTTTACAGTTGAGCTTGTATCAGTGTATGTCAAATACGTGCTTTCACCTACCTAAGTTTATCCTATCAGCACCATATCAATGCTGGCAAAATGATTATGTGCAATATGAAATAGATGTATGAATGTGTCATGCAAGTACAACCATGAACTTAAAAGCATGAACTCTTACGGTTATAAGCATGTTAGCGAATACAAATAAGAGAATATATGCAAGCCATATGCTTGAATGAATACATTTACTGTATTAACTTTAAACAAATATTTACCACCTAGAGAAGCATTAGTACGAAAGTATGTATACGCAATAGCGTTTCTATGTATAGAACGTCAGCAGTCATCTAAGCATATCTGTGAGCATTGACCTCTGTATGAAATCCGTTAACGAGGAAATCATACCGTGGTTCCTGCAACCAGAAAAATTCCACTAGAAAGGCTACCTGAAAAATAAAAACAAAAAACAACAGAAACTATTTAATGCCCAACTCACTCATCATTCTTAAGGACACCTAATTTCTCAAAAAATAAGAAAAAATAAAAACAGAAAAAAAATGGTAAAAGAAACGCAGGAGACATTGCTGTTGATCAAAAACAAAAAATGCGGAGAAATTTGAATTATGGAGGCATTGGAGTTCAAATTCAATAGAAACTTGAAAACTGACCAGGCTCCCTCTTCAATGTTGCTTGATTCAAGTTAGAAAACAGCCTCTCAAATTTTTCGGTGGGTTGCCTCTGCGAGAAACACGTTAGGGTTCGAAAAGGAGAAATTGGTCGAGAAGGCGATGTGAACTGGAACGATCTGGAGATTTTATTCTGAGAAAGTGTAATTGGAAGTGGTTGGCGTCTTCTTGATTGAATTGAGAGGAGAGGAATTTGAAGAGAGAACGAGCAAAGCGCCATTATTGCTGCTCGTCTTCCTCTCTGCTCTATGGGGAGGGAAATTGAGTTTTCAAATAGATGACGAGGCAGTGAGCCAGTGATACACTTTTCTCTCCGAGACGATAACAAATCCTCTCAGTGGTGACTGGTGAGAAATCAGGAACTCTGCATAATGACAGAAATACCCGTTCAGTATGGAAAAGTAACGGCTCTCTCTTTTGGGAAACATAGGTGTCGTTTGGCATTTTATGACAGAAATACCCGTGCGAAGACCCTGACCACACTCTTTGCACAGCCTTTTACAACCGTGCATTGCGAATATTTCGGTATTTATATGGCATTTTATGAGTTAACTTTGGCCTATGCTGTTAAGAGTGTTTTTAGGCTGAAAAAAGAATTATTATTTTACCCCATTCTATGGTAACGTAACGTGATATTCCCAAAAATGTTCTAACATAGAGGCCTTTAGCCTTTAACAGCAAAAGTTTTTTTATATTTACAATGCAAGGTTGCAAGGAACTATGAGAATGGGCTGGCCTGATTCAGCCCCACCAGTATCCATGTTAATCATGAGTTGGAACTGCCATGGGGTCTCACGTCCTAAGGCAATTCAAGGGTTAATGGATTTTGTCTCTCGTTTTAATTCAAATATTATTTTCTATATGAGACCAAAATCCAAGAAACTAAATTAAATTCTTTAATTAATACTTTGCACTATCCTAACTCTATTATAATTAATCCTGAAGGCCGAATAGATGGATTAGCAGTCATTTGAAGAGCTGCTATAAATGCTTCTATTTTTTGGTCAAGTATCAAGTATGTCTTCCTAAAAATTCAATCCACCTTTGAAAATTGGTTACTAGGTTTTATATATGGTCCTTCAGTTAAATATCAAAGAAATGCTTTTTGGGAGAATACAAATGTCTTGTTACAAACAGTTGATTTTCCTTTTATTTTAATTGGTGATTTCAATGAAGTTGCCTCAATAGATACTTCTAATCCTTCTTCTTCTACTTTTAATATCAATCGTCTAACCTCTTCTCAATATAGAAATTTAATTTTAAATCATAACCTTCTAGAACTTAATCTTCAAGGTGGTGGAACCTCTTGGTCAAATAAAAGAACAATGGATCACATCCATAGAACCTTAGATAGAGCTATCTTATTTCCTGACTGGCTTCAACTTTTCCCAGATACCTCTCTTACTCTACGGTCAAAATGGGGTCCTGACCACCACCCATTGTTTTTAAACCTCCACCCCTAGCATTAAAAATTACCCAAACATTTTAGATTTTTTGAGATGTGGTTATCAGATTATTCGTGTAAACAAATAATAGAAGAAGGATGGACTCATCAAGTTAATAGATATGTAGCTTTTCGATTGACAAAGAAGTTGGATGAAATTATCATGACCAGAAAACAGCGCCATGAAATTTCCAACCAAGTATGGCATAGGGGTGGCACGCGAGGACCAGAAAACAGCGCGACATTGCTATCAGTTATCCTACCAAGGACTATGTCCAGCGACCAAGACATTGATGACAGAAGCATACAACCTGATGTAGCACGGTCCGGTCACTCCTAGTTGGCGCTCACGTAGCTCCTGAGAGGTACCTGAGATGAGAAGAAAAAGGAAGAACTCTCGAGGGGTTTCCCAACGGGGACGCTCCGATGCTTAAGTTAGTACTATGTGCAAGAAGTGAAAGGAGAATGAAGGCTAAGAGTGAGGATGGTGCGTTATCACTATGTTTAGGAGGTCGAAGATTTTTTCCCGAAGAAGTTTTCCTTCTATCCTGAGGGCTTTTATAGGGACACTCACATTAGGCCGGGCATAACCGCCACTGGGCTCCTGCCACAGCCGTTACCTACCAGGGCTGCGCAGGTGGTCGTTGTGGTGTACGCTTCGCCCGGGTGAGTGACACGTTTCCAGAGAGGCAAGCACGCCTTCGCCTGTTGATAGACGTGGGTGCAGACTATTGGAAGGACTGGGACTGCGCCGTCAGTAGAGGATATGGTGCAGTCTGACCGGTACGGTCTGTCAGTCGGAAGCTTCCTGGAGGGCGCCAACGTGGCTTGTTCGCGAGCTATCTCGTAGCGAGCTTGGGATACTCCAGGATTGCCTTAGTGGAATTGGTCCTCGGAATGACTTCTGTTAGGGAACCCGGAGTTCGCCTTGCGGCAGACTCCTCCCCTCGTGAGCTGTAACGTAGCGGACTACTTCGTGGGCCCGTCACTTGGTTGCTCCGGACTTCAGTGCTAAGCTATCGCTCATGCTGAGTCGGTGCCTACGTGTCACCATTTCATAGGTTGGGTCAAATCATCCCTCATCAATTGCCCCCCACTCCTCGAGCTAAGAGTACTGCCTTAGCGCGGGGAGTTTATGAAGTGCGATAGACTGATTTGACCGAAATTCAAACTGATTTGACCGAAATTCAAACTTGACTGACTGTCCTTATTAAATGCATTCTCGGGAATCAAGAGATTTTCTGACTTCCTGACTTTTCGGATTCTGAAAACATGCTGGGGTGGCCTTTAACCCCGAACGTCGTGCGGCTGCGACTACTTCAACTACGGAAGACGTGCCGCCAATCGCCTTCGGTTTTCAGAAGGCGTGCGGTCAGGGCGCCCGCAGACCATTGGATCTGCTTTGATCTGGGCCATCAATTTGGAAGGCTGGAGACTATAAATAGGGGGGCCCCTTAGGCTCTACTTTCTCCCACGGCCATTTTGCTGTCTTCGGATTCTGAGGTTGTGCACTTCACCTAGTCTACCCGAATTCCTTAGTTTGCTTCGTTCCGTCTACTCTGGTGAGTCCCAATTGCTGCCAGCCATGTCTGGGTATCCATATCACACCTATCACAGGGGCAGTAGCCAGGATGATGATGCTCCCTCGAGCTCAGAGGGTGCTTGGGGGTAGATCCCGGAGGCTCGGGAGGCCTCTGGTGACATGGCATCTACTTCTAGGGGGAGGGAGCCTGATACCTTTGGCCCTTCCTTAATGACAGCGGAGAGACTCAGGTCTCTGATCCGCTACTTTCGCCTCCCTGGGGACCTGGTTTACAGCCTCCCTACTGGTAACTTCCCTTGGGAGCACGGTCCCGATGACATAGTAATCTTTCAGGAATAACTCGAGGTCGGCTTGGGTCTCCCCCTGCACCCTTTGATAGTGGAGGTGTTAAATCACTTCAACGTCACTATTGACCAGCTTCATCCCAATGCCATTCGAAACATGGTTGGGACTATATCCCTATGTCACGAGTACTACCTTCCTTTGGACCTTGATATTTTTGTCTCTATCCTTTGTATAAAGAATGCTGCTCCTGGAGTTCCTCCGGAGAGGCGCTTTTATTACCTCTCTCCCCGTCGCGACTATAAGCCCTTGTACGAGCTGCTGAATAAGATTCCCGCCTGGAAGCAGGACTACTTTGTGGTTCGTAACCCCGAGGGGTGGCCCTTTCCCACTGCTTGGAGGGGCGCCATCCAGGACCCCGGGGCCGAGCTGGACCCTGAGATTTGGAAAATGATGCTGTCCTGGGCATTGGTATGCTTCCTTTGCTCGGACTACTTGACCGAGGAGAAGCTTGTGCAGGCAGGCTTGAGCCCGAGTAGGTCAGCCTTTTAGGTCGCGTAGTGCCTTGTGACTATTGTGCACGTGTATTTTGTTTCTTGTCGGACTAATACCTTGTGGTCTTTTGGCAGCCATCATGTCCAGTGTCGATTCACGCCACCTTCTCTCGAGTAGTCAGAGGCGCCATGTGAAGAGGACGCACCCCGATCGGACCCCTCCTTTGGGAAGCACTGAGTTCGGGTCTGCCGAGTCGGTCCTGCCCTCTCCACCGCCCGAGGTTCCGATGCCCCCTCCTGAGGGGGCTAGTGGGATTAACCCTGGGGGAAGCGACCTCCCTCAACCGGGGGAGGCCCCCTGTAACCCCCTTCAACCCCGTCCTTACCCTCGATTCCCTGTGGGAAACTAGGAAGGGGTAAATGATTATCTGGTAGCTCACCAGAGGAGTCAGAAGGCAATCACTAATGACGAGATCGCTCAGTGGGGAAACATGGAGCCTAGGGATCTCTCCGCGTTTTTCTCTACCCATTGCATGGTGGTAAGTGACCTTTTTCCCTTTTTCTCTCTTGTTTTGCCCTTTTCCGTTGTCTTCTGATCTTCTTTTCCGTTGACAGGTGAATTCTGCCATCCATGCCATGGCTCTCCAGACGCGCATCCACCGTGTTGATGCCCTCGACCAGCGGGCCACCAACCAGAAGCTCCAGGGCGAGCTCGACCGGAGGCTCAAATCACCCGGCTTACTAAAGAGAGCGCACGTTACAAGGAGGAATCGTCGAGGATGGTGGCAGAGAGGGAGCTCCTCAGGCAGCAGGTGCGGGACTTGGAGTCCACTCTTCTGAACCGGACTCAAAACTTTGATCAAATGGTGGAGGCTGAGCGAGAGAAAACGGTCTGGGATTTTAAAGACTCCCAGGAATTTCAGGACCTCCAGGCGGAGTATGGTTCGAGTTCGTATCGCTCAGGRTTTAAGCTCTGTCGGTGGCTGGTTTAGAAGAAGTTCTCCGGGCTCAACCTCGACGGCATTACCATGAAAGATCTGTCTCCTGAGACAGCGGACCAAGCGGATGAAGAGGAGCCTGACTCTCTAGAGGTTGAGGAGGCGGATCCTTGAGGCAGCATTTCTCTGGGCTTCTGGTGGCTCTCGGGTGCCGTAAACCCGGTCTTTCACAAGTTTTCGGCTGGGTGGTTGTGCCATGTGATAATCAAACCTTTCCCGAGCTTTTTAGCTCGGTTACTGCGCTTGTTATTTTTCTTTTCTTCTCTCCTTTTCTTTCTCTTTTTTTTTTCACAATGAAAGTTTTTTTTCTTCTTAGTATGATGAACTCCCTTTATTTTTGCTAAAGCGATCTCATCATTTGAGCTATTAAAGCTACGTGCCCGAAGTAGGACTCTTTGGTAGTCGTTATCCCGATTTGTCCTTTAACGTTTAAGGCCTCTATGGTATACCGCGAAGTGATTATTATGTATGCTCGAACTAAGCATTGGTTGGTTATTCCTCAGTTCTACCTACGTATTGAGATGAGCTATGCTTCGTGGGGTTTAAACCCGAGCTACTTACGCCTTTGATATTTCATACCTTGCCTTTGCCGCTGAAGTGGCTAAGTCTTTCTTCACGCCGAGGTCTTTGTTAGCTCGGTGT